GAGGGGCAGTGGCCCAAACCAAAAAAGGGGCACTAAGGGGGTCGTCTTCTTCTCCACCCACACTAAGAAGTGTGGGTGACGAGAGCTCTCCAGCGAATGCGATCATGTGCCAGATCTTTGGCTTCTTCCCATGTGATGTTTAGGGAACTGAGGTCATTGATGAAGGTTCGGTGCCAGGTCCGTCGTGGTCGACCCCTGCATCGTCGTCCTCCAGGTGGAACCCACTGGAGTGCCTTCTTTGGTGCTTTCCAGCTTTCCATCTATATAATGTGTCCAGCCAGCCACAGGCGGTGGTATGTAATCATTATACTAAGACTTAGCTTGTTGCAGAGTTGCAGAACTTCCTCATCAGTAATGTAGTAGTAATCTCGAATATGTAGTATTCTTCGCAGGCATGCAGCGCTGATGGAAGACGTCTACCTTGTGAGAAATACTAGCTGATGCCTTCCACGTTTCTGCTGCATAAGTTGCCATCGGAAGGATGATAGATGTATACAAGCAAAGCTTGATGTTAAGTGAGATTGACGTAGATGACCAGATCTTGCACATTTGTTGAAATGCCTTGCCAATCTGGCATTTGACGTCTATCTCTGCATCTCCATCTCGTCCAATATAGTGCTGCCAAGGTACGTAAACCTACTAACCTCTTCAATGTCGCTTCCATCAACCTTAATCCTTGGCATGTCAGCTTGAGCGCCGATATGCATGACTTTGGATTTTTCGGTACTAATGCGTAATCCAACCTTCGCTGCTTCTGTATGCAAGCTTTATGTTATTTCCTGTAAATGGTAACGGTTTTCAGCGAGCAGAGCTATATCGTCTGCAAAATCAAGATCAGTGAGGCGGTTCTGTCCATCCCAATCAATGCCTGCGTTTGGTCTTGCCATAGCCTTCCTCACGACAAAATCTAGGGCCACTATGAATAAGAATGGCAACAAGATACATCCTTGTCTGACACTGGTCTCAATGGCAAAGAAGTCAGTGTGGCCTGTATCTGTCTTGATGCAGCAGCTGGAATTGTTATACAATGATTGGAAGACAGGTATTAATTTCTTTGGCACACCATACAAAGGGGGTGGATCAGCGGAATCAGCAGATCTTTAGCGGAGGGGGAACAGAATGCTTTGAGCTGGGGTGATGGGGGATTGGTGACTAGAGAGGGGCACCTCAGCCGATGAGGGCAACCCCCCTGTGCACGGCCCTGATTGGAGATATAGTCCCAAATTGAATTATTACTATAGAGACATTTTTTTCACCAACTAATTCTAAGTGAACTAATTCATTCTTTGAAACTTGCAATCCACCCTCAGAACGCCTGTTAGACAAAATGGATTTCCTAATTTTATGGGATTTATTCTTCCAAATAAAATTCAGTAACATTTTATTTATATCATCAGCAATTTTGTCACTAACAAATAAAGCAGGGTAAACACAACGGGACAATCCCTCTGCTTTAGATATAAGAACTCTGCCATAGATGAATAGATCACGTAGAAAGCCAAGAATTAAAGATTATTCTAGTTTTCTTTATTTTAGGATAAAAATTTAAATGTTGATGAGTCACTCTATCAAGGTCAAGGTCAAAATTTATTTATATAGCACCTTAAAACAACACGAATGTTGACCAAAGTGCTTCACAAGCAAAGCAAAATACACACAAATAAAACAGAACCAAAAAGTATTCAATCCGAAAACTTAAAAGGATAATAAAAACAAAAATTTATAATGGTCAAAAAATAGTCATAACCTGGTACATCCCAAAAAACTACAACCCCTAGCATTTAAGAGATGCAAACAAAATAAAACAAAAAGTTATGAGTAAGCCTAAGAAAAAACATAGTTTTTAATTGATGCTTTAAAGAGGCTTAATGTAGGAGAAGCTCTAATAGTTAAGTGTAGTGTGTTCCAAAGTTTTGGAGCATAGACTGAAAAAGACCTGTCGCCTTTTGTTTTCAAACGAGATTTCGGGACATTTAATAACAGCTGGACTGAAGATCTAAGTGATCTCTGAGGAGAATAAAAACTTAAAAGTTATGATATATAAATAGGGGCAAGTAAAGTGTTACTTTAAACACGTAAGTTAAAACCTTAAAATCAATTCTTTGTTTCACAGGGAGCCAACGGAGAGAGGCCTGTAAAGGTGAAATATGTTCCCTCTTTTTTGTCCCAGTCAGGAAACGAGCTGCAACATTTTGGACTATCTGCAATCATGAGAGTGATGGCTGACTGATTCCAGCATACAAGGCGTTGCAGTAATCAAGCCTTGAGGAGATAAAAGTGTGAATAATGGTCTCCAGATCCTTAAAAGTAAGAAGAGGCTTTAACTTTCGAAGTCGCTTTAGCTGGAAAAAGCTGGCCCTGACCACTGAATTAATTTGTTTGTCAAACTTCAGGATGGAATCAAAGATGACCCCCAGATTTTTAACGAGTGATTGTTTGACTGGAGATGCCGAAAGCACTGTATTTGTCAATCTGCGGATTTGGAGCCAAACAGGATAACCTCTGTCTTATTTCCGTTCAACTGAAGAAAATTCGTATCCATCCATTCTTTAATATCCTTTAGATGTGCTAGCAGAGAAAAAAACAGAATCACTACCAGAATCTAATGGTAAATAGAGCTGGGTATCATCTGCATAGATGTGATAGGAGATCTTATGATGCTCAAAGATCGAGTGCAATGGAAGCATGTAAAGAGAAAATAAAACTGGACCCAGAATCGAACCCTGTGGCACCCCACAGGTGATTGGCACAGGGGATGATGAAAATTCTCAAATTTCTACAGATATACTCCTATTTGAAAGACTCAAACCAGTCTAAGGCAGCATCGCAGAAGCCTGCCTCATGATTTAATCTTTTTAACAGAATGCAATGGTCCACAGTGTCAAAGGCAGTGCTTCAGTCCAACAGAACAAGGACTGCACAGTTTCCAGAGTCAACTGATAACAAGATATAATTTGTCACTCTTAATAGAGCAGACTCCGTCCTGTGCTTAACCTTAAAAGCAGACTGAAAAGGATCTGAGATGTTGTTAGAAGTTAAATATGGTGTAAATTGGTTTAAAACCACTTTTTCCAGAACTGTCAGCAAAAAGGGCAATGGGTCTATAGTTGTGAAGTTCAGAAGAATCTAGGTTTGTTTTTTTTAGCAAGGGGTGAACCACAGCATGTTTTAAACAGGATGGAACAGTGCTGCTATGCAGAGAGGCATTTATAATGGAAAGTACACTAGGTAAAACAACATCCAATACCTCCTTAAATAGGATAGCAGGAATAGTATCAAGAGAACAAGTGGTTAGTTTCATGTTAGAAATCACAGCCAACAAATCAGAGTGAGATATAGTCTGAAAAACAGACAGACTAGAAGAACTAATCTGTAAATTATAACAACTTTTGGATGAGGATGATAAAATCTGAGACCCAATACCAACAATCTTGTCTATGAAGAAGCTGCAAAACTTCTCACACAGATTAAATGCTCCAATCTATCTGTAGAAAGGAAAATCCCCAGGTACCTGACACAGTCTTTAACAGGTATATGATGTATTGATGCTTGTTGGGTATCATAGAGACAAAATAGTTCACACTTTGATAAATTTAAATATAAGCCTGATGCTTTAGAGAAAGATTGAATAATATAAATATTTAAAGGAATTTGACTTTGATCTTTAACAAATAAGGTACTTTGGTCAGCAAGTTGAGATATTTTAAATTCTTTACCAAATACAGAAATACCTTTCAAAGTGGGATTTTGTAAACTATTAAGTGATATTATTATATGAACAGCCAAAAGAAAAAGAAATGGGGCAACCTTGACGCACTCCTCTGTCACAATTAAAACATTTAGTAGTTTGCAAGCTAATGTAATGACTGTATCATTTATTTATTCATTATTAATTTGTAATTATAGGGAATTAATGATTATTAATTTATTCAGGTTTTGCTAGAACTCGGGTCTGAATGTCCCAAGTCCACCTGATCAAACCATTCCAAATTTGTTAGTTTTACTTCAAATCAAGGTCGTCCAGCGAGCCAGTGATTCTTGGTATCTTTTAAAAAATTTAATATGTGTTTTCCTGGCCACAGTCAACACAATTAAGATTATTTGTAAGCTCTTAACAGAGGTAATTATTATAAGTAAGCTACGAGATAAGTAGCAAGCAAGGATCGTTTGGCATAGGTTTAACCTTAAAATTATATGAGCCAAGAAACTTCTTGTTTATAAATGAAACATGAATTTTATTGGCTAATCTAGATTACATAAAAACCTAACTAAAACATACACATACACACAAAGATTCAAGGAAATGAGTTGACGGAGTTGCATGAAGTTTTCAAAGTCTTAACTCGTTTAACGAGTGGTTTTAAATTCAGCCTAGTAGAACACCAAGCAGCGATTGCCTTATCTTTACTGTTTAATTCAATTCACCCATTCAACACCGATTTCAGCAGTCATCACCAAAGGAAAATAACGCTGAATATCAATTATTCATTTACACCAATGTTCTGTGAATACAACCAGCTCTCATCCAAACTCAAACAACAGGTATTTTGCATACACAGCAATCGTAATTAACTAAAGAGAAAAGTTAGAAAGCAACGATTAAGATATCGTGGTTTCAATAACACATCACACATATTTAAGACATAAACGTATTAGTTAACCATGGGATAGTCATGTGGCGTCACGCTGTACATCCTGTGCTGGCCTGAGGGCATCATTTAATCCTTTTCCTGTTCTGGACATAAGGGTTCCATCCATTGGTGGGTCCCAAAACATGGGGGTTTCTATAGGTTGTGACTGACCTCTTTCAGTCCTTGATACCAAGACAGCTTTGTCGTCTCCTGATCGAATGAATTTCGATCTCATGAGTAGATGAGTTTACCATACTGACAGGAAATCAACCAAGACCCTTTTGATTGGCGGACACGTACTTCTTCAGCATGCTGACCACGGTCCTGTTGACTCGTTCCACTTGACCTGAGGAAATTGGGTGCTGGCTTATATGGAGCTTGGCCTGTATACCCAAGAGTTTCCACACTTCTTGCATGACTTCGGCGGTGAAGTGGGTTCCTCGGTCAGAGTTGACCCTTAAAGGCAGTCCGAACCTTGAGAAGATGTGGTTCATCAAAAGGCAGGCTGTTGTTTCTGCTGTATCGTTGGGAGCTGGGAGACACTCTACCCACTTTGTGAATTCGCAAACCACGTTGAGGAAGTATTTGTTACCCCTTGTTGACCGTGGTAGGGGTCCCACCCAATCTATTTGGAGGTCCGACCATGGGAAGGTCATTCCTTTCCGTTGCAGTGGTGCTCGGTGGTTTGGGTTTGCCGGTTGGAACTGGCAACACACCAGGCATCCTTTTACGTACTCCGCCACGTCTTGCTGCATGCCAGGCCAGTATGCTACTTGTCAGATGGAAACATTGTGCATTATGATGGAGTTTGTAGCTTAATTCACTATATTTGAAATAGTTTAAGCTGCAGTTCAATTGGTGACAGTTCAATAGAAATCAGCTGAAAGCATCCAGTCTCTCATAGCATTGACGTGAATGTTCAGTTTATCAGTATATATTGTAATAAATATTTGAGAAATGATTGTTGAATGTGATTGTATTAGTCTATATCTAGCGATAGTCAGTGTAAAAAGAGCAAATGGGAGAAGCAGATGAGCACAAAAGTTAAAGAGGGTAAACTTTATCATTCATCTGAACTGTGCTCGTATGTTTCAAACACTTCAGCTCTTATATCTTCTTACGCCACACATTTATTAAGTGTGCGTCCTTGAAAGCGCACGTTTTTTTAGCGTATCTCTTTAACTTCTCAGGTAATATCAATGGTGTGATCAATTTCAGGTTGAAATTACAACAACAGTGATTACATACACATGCTGTATATTTAATTGTTTGATCAAAATTAATGCTAGGGACAATTTAGTATTGGCTGTGTATTGGTAGTGACATGTCATATATCGTCTCTACTAAACTTTAAGAAAGGATGCATGAAACAGAACGGGTCGTTTGAGGTTGAACTACTTCTCACACGATAATTCTATAAAATGTTTGTGGCGTCGCAGGACAAATCTGCTCATTTTCAAGAGTTTACAAACTAGTGAAGTGTGTGCGTTTATCAGGGTTGCCATGTTCTTGCAACAATACCCGCCCAATTTCAACTCAAAACTAGCCCAATCGTGTATTGAGGGGGGTCTCCCAGTAAAAAAAATCACATTCCGGGGGGTAAAATACAAATTTTTTGCCGGGGTTCCCTAATACAATTCACATTCCAGGGGCTAAATATCACGTTATTGGGGTCTCTTCAACCCGCTCTTTACGAATTATCGAGCCGCAGTTCCTCCACCGTCTTCTGGTGGGCGCTGTGTTGATTGCGCAGATCCTGCCGAAGGGCTTCATGCAACATCTGGAGCTCCATCAGCTCCAGCGATTTACTGATCAATAAAAAATAAACAAATATAAAATACAGACTTAAAGGGATAGCTCGCCAAAAAATGAAAATTCTGTTATGAATTACTCACCCTCGTGTCGTTCCAAACCCGTAAGACCATCGTTCATCTTCGGACACAAATTAAAATATTTTGCATTGAGATCCGAGAGCTCTCTGACCCTCCATAGACAACAACGTAACGTATGCAATGTATGCACACGGATACGCTGTTAACGTTCAGATCAACGTAAACAGCGCATCCGCGTACATACATTGCATACGTTGTTTATGTATGTGATACTGTCCAAAATGGAGCTATAGGGTGATGCGGAGGAAACAAATTGTTGAATAAAGTCATTATTTTTGTTTTCTTTGCACACAAAAAGTATTCTCGTAGCTTCGTAAAATTACGGTTGAACCCCTGATGTCACATGGATTATTTTAACGATGTCCTTGCTACGTTTCTGGACCTTAGGATCCTTGCTGTCTGTAGAGGGTCAGAGAGCTCTTGGATTTCATCAAAAATATCTTAATTTGTGTTCTGAAGATGACCGAAGGTCTTACGGGTTTGGAACGACATGAGGGTGAGTAATTAATGACAGAATTTTCCTTTTGTGGGTGAACTATCCCTTTAAGACTATAGACTATACTATAGATCTATAAACACTGTCCAACAAGTCCTAAAGTTTCATCTTTACCGGGACATTCTGAAATGCTTAACGTAGCTTAATGCATTAATAGTGTTTTTAAAAGACCAAACTTAGTAAACACATTGATAAGGCAGACAAGCAGATGAGCCCATAATAAGAACGCAATATGTTTAATTACACATTAAGCGTTTTCCTCCCATAGAAAACCATTATAAAGAAAACGCTTCAAGTGGCTTAAAACATTAAGCCATGTTAACCGTTTTTCACATTAAGCGTTTTAGAATGTCCCTCTTAACCCTCTGATTTTCCACCTGTTTAGCTGCATCTCTAGGTCTTCTATTTTCTGAGTCTCCTCGCGGAGCTGCGTCTCCAGGACTTCAGCCTGCTGAGCTCTGAGCTGGGCCTCCTGGTGCAGCTCATCCACCAGGCCCATGAGCTGCGTCTCTGAGCCCTGCAGCTGCTGTAAATCACAGCTCACCTGCTCCAGCTGAAGACACAGCAGGGAGGCGTCTCTCCAGCGCTCCTCCGTCACAAAGATCAAGCGCTGCTGCTGCAGGAGATCGGCCTGATCCTGACATTTACATTTCTACTGTAAAATAAAATGATTGCATCTGTCTATGGTGAATACTTTACTGTGAGAATTGCAGGTTTTGTTGCACTGCCTTTTTGACTATTTAAATGACAAATTGCAATAATGAAATCTATTGGGAATTACAAAAAATTGAACTTCGGAATGCATTACGGTAATTTTGCACTCTAATGTTGCAACATAAAACAGCTATTGGTCTTAAAACTGGATTAAAAAAAAAACTATTGGTCCTGAAAATCTGTCTTTATGCAAACTGCAAAATGTAATTCCCTGTTTTTACATTCTGATCCAGGTGAAATGTGACGTTTTCATGAGCATTTCATCATTTTAATCTCCTTTATGCAGTTATGCAATAGTCATGCAAATATTCTATCCAAGTCTCGCAATTAATACGAGCTCAGAAAACTGCATGCATAATATGAGAATTGGGAATTTTAAGCTTGTAGTTGCAGTACAGTGTTGATGTAGCGCCTTGTTTGTTTGTTGTTTTATTTTATATTTATATATATATATACACAGTGGTGGCCAAAATTATTAGAACTAATATTTTCAGCAGATAAACATGGTTTTAAGTCAGTTATTTCTATATTTGCTGTAGTGTGTCAGCAGAAAATATCAGTTTAGATTTCCAAACATTCATTTAGCCATTAATTGTAATAACGCAGTGAGATGTTAGTGCTGCACACAGAGATCTGATCATCATCAGTCTGTCTGGAGTCACATGAAGAAACCAGAGGCGGACCTGCATGAAGTGGGGGCCCCAGGCAAAATTAATCAGTGAGGCCCTTCTAAAAGATTTTGTTTTAGTATTTTTGTTAATGTATCTTTGTTACCTAGTGATATAATTATACAAAATATGAAATGTGGACAAAACACATCTAATAATGCACAAAACAGGATGTGTGCTCTAAAAAAAATATTTAGGCTGTAAAAAATGGGAATGTTAAAATATTTAAGGCACAGTTGTTGCATGACAACCTAGCCCGTTATCATTTGCTAATGTAAACTGATGAATAAAATGTTTTATATTTGGTTTGGAGTGGAATAGAGTGTGGGCAGAAATATAAATCGGTGCCTATGCTTACCGTTGTCCTGTTTCCTCTTGTTCTCCTCTTTTGTTCTCGCTTCAGGCTGCCTGACAGATTTGTCCTCTTCTTTATGTTTAACCTGCGTGTTTATGTGTGTGAACTTTTTTCAGTTGCGCAAGCTCAACTTCCATAGGAATGGATTAAAAACGCTAGTTTCCCGCGTTCTGCTCCGCTCTATGGTCAGACGAGTCCAAATTTGACATTCTTGTTGGAAATCACGTACGCCGTGTCCTCCGGGCTAAAGAAGAGGGAGACCTTCCAGCGTGTTATCAGCGTTCAGTTCAAAAGCCAGCATCTCTGATGGTATGGGGTGCATAAGTGCATACGGTATGGGCAGCTTGCATGTTTTGGAAGGCACTATGAATGCTGAACGGTATATAAAGGTTTTAGAGCAACATATGCTCCCCTTCAGACGACGTCTATTTCAGGGAAGGCCTTGTGTATTTCAGCAGGACAATGCAAAACCAAATACTGCAGCTGTTACAACAGCATGGCTTCGTAGGAGAACAGTCTGGGTGCTGAATTGGCCTGCCTGCAGTCCAGATCTTTCACCTATAGAGAACATTTGGCGCATCATTAAACAAAAAATACGACCACGGACTCTTCAGCAGCTGGAAACCTATATACTCCTGACTACCAGCTATGGAGTTTTATCCACCGTAGAGGACATTATGTTTTAGCTATTTCTCTGAGACGTGACATGTCACAGCTTTAGGTCTGGACGTCCTGTACAGAGCACATTCAGGGCTTTTCAGAGATACCAAATGATTGGATGTTTCACCGTGACCACTGCCTCTCTTTGGTCTACAAAAATGGTGGACATTCATTTAGTGATCAAATGTAACACCCTTATGGAAATATGATAATATTTTGTAATTATCATTTAAATCTGACTAATTGACAAATTGTTTGTCATAAATCAACATCTCAGGAAAATGTTATGGGGTTTCAAATCAAAATATGACCTTCTGTTATGAAACAGGACATCAGTTTCATACATGTCCACTGTAGAGGACACCAGGACTTAAAGCATGTTTGTTACACATTTTGGGAGACACTTATACACTTATTTCTTCATTCTATATTGCCCCAAAAACACATTATTATTCAAATTAGATACAGTTTATAGCTACATTGTATATAATGGAAAAACTTGTTTATGGCCATTTTACACACATTTTGCATAAAGAAAAATGTTTTTTAAAAATATATTTCATAACATAGTTTAGAATCATCTTTATATAAAGTTTGGTATTAAAATGGTATATAAAAAATGAAAATTGATTTCTGATTAAAACAAAAATCCCACTCTTTTATTTTTTACAAAACAGGACTTTTTAAAGTCGTGATGTCCTCTACAGACGACATGGCATAACATATGAATAAAATGTAATTTTTCAAAAATTTTATTTGTCTAAATTTTTCTTATGCTCTAAACAATGTAATGACAAGACAAAATACTAAATTCACAAAACTGTTTTTCCCTCGTAGTCAGGAGAATATCAGGCAAGAATGGGACCAATTTCCAGCACCAAAACTCCAGAAACTCATAACCTTGATGCCCAGACGTCTTCAAACTGTTTTGAAAAGAAGAGGAGATGCTACACCATGCTAAACATGCCCGCGTCCCAACTATTTTGAGACCTGTAGCAGGCATCAAATTTGAAATGAGCTCATTTTGTGCATTGTTATCTATGTTCTATTATGAATAAAACATTGGCTTATGTGATTTTAAATTCTTTTAGTTTTAATTTTATTCAGATTTAAAAAACCTTCCAACATTTACGGAATTCAGGTTGTAAAAATTTGATTTTGCAGGCTTACACACACACACACACAATAGTGTAGAAACAGTTTTAAATGTTAGCGAGTCGGACTTGTAACCCAAAGGTCCTGGGTTCGAGTCTCGTTACCAGCAGGGATTGTAGGTTGGGAAGTGAATGACCAGCGCTCTCTTCCATCTTCAATACCACGACTGAGGTGAGACCCTCCCATTTACTCCCTCAATTCAAAATCATTCATTGGTTTGTAATTTAAAGATGTTCTCAGTTCATCCGAATGATGCACAACACTGACATGAACAGAACAGACACTGTAAAGACCCACCATGCACTGCCTGTATGTGTGTGTGTGTGTGTGAGAGAGAGAGAGAGAGAGAGAGAGAGAGAGAGAGAGACTCTACAGGAGCAGGAATGAGGAAGCAGCTTCTTTTTTTTTTTTTACACACGTGACTCAAACACAAAACCAGGAAACAGGAAACACGTGTGTTCAGGGAAAGAGAAACTGCTCCCCATGTCCTAGTTTTACCTCTTGTATGCCCATATTTGGTTTTGTTCCTTTTCCTGTTCTCGTTTAGTTAATTTAGTCCCACCTGTTTCAGTTCTCCCTGAGTATGTTCCCTGATTAGTTTATTATGTTCATTCTGTTCCACCTGTGTTTGTTAATTACCTAGTGTACTTAAGCCCTGTGTTTTCCTTAGTCTAGCATCCGGTATTAACGTCGATGTTGTGTTCTCCCTGCCTTGTGTTACCGCTGTTGGACTGTGGATCATTAAAAGACTGTTTATTTTGAAGTTTACGCCTCGTCTCCTCGCTTCCCTTGTGTTGTTTCGTGACAGAATACCGGACCAAACTGTATGCAGTGCCTCTTCTCCTCATTTGTTTTGTCGGTTTTGAAAGTTTTTTGTTTTCCCCGTTTCCCCCCCCCCCCCCGCGGCATGGAAGTCACCACTTGCTATTCCGCCCTAGCCCGCAGTGGGTAAGCATGGGAGTTTGGCGGGATCGCTGCGAGTACTGAGAGTCCGCCGGCCGCTACGAAGTCCAGCCTGCCTGCTGCGGCTAACCCAGGCCCCGCCACTTCCTCAAGCCCACCGGCTGTAGCTCCCTCAAGCCTGCCGGCCGCTCCGACGTCAAGCCCGCCGGCTGCGGCTCACTTCAGTTCCAAAGTTCACTCCAGTGTCCTGACCAAGAGTCCAGTGCAGGCTCCAGCCCCTGACCAGAGGCAAGTCATGTCCCCTGAAGTATTGTCCACAGGAACATTTTTAATCAGTCTTATTGGTCTTGTCTGTTGGGGTTCCTCAGAAGCAGGCTGCTTCTCCTGTCATGGCCATGGAGGACATTCCCAAGCCGCTTGCTTCTCGTGTTGCCTCAATGGAAGCGGTTCCTGAGAGAGCCCCTGAGAGAGCCCCTGTCACCACGTTCAGCCCAAGGAGGGCTGTTGGTCTCATGTCCAGCCCAGAGAGGGCATCAGATTCTGAGCCTAGCCCAGAATGGGCTCCTGATCCTGTGGATAGCCCTGGGAGGACTCCTGTTCCTGAGTTTAGCCCAAGGAGGGCTCCTGTTCCTGAGTTTAGCCCAGTGAGGGCCCCTGTTCCTGAATCCGGCCCAGAGAGGGCCCCTGTTCCTGAATCCGGCCCAGTGAGGGCCCCAGTCCCCGGATCCAGCCCAGCGAGGGCCTCGAGACCCGAGATTCTCCCCAAGTAATTTTTTTGGAGGGGGCTAATAGAGCTCTGGCCGTAGGGGCCGGGCTGTTGGCCAAGGCCACGGAGGCCGATCTGCCATGGCCGCCTGAGCTCCCAGCTCCGCCAGGGTCTCCCAGACTATCCATCCGCCATGGCTTCCCGAGCTTCCTGTTCCGCCAGGGTCTCCCGGATCGGGTCCTGCTCTGGAGCCCAGCCATCCCAGTGTGTTACCTGTCCTGAGGGGCCTCCAGAGCACCCACCCCCCCCCCTCCCCAGTAGATGTTATTATCCTGGAGGGGGAGGTAATGTTAGGCTTATGTTTGTGTTGTGTTTTCTGTCCTTGTGCTACCCATGTCCTAGTTTTACCTCTT